TGCCTTCTCGCCGTCGCCGCTCAAGAGCAAAGATCATACTCTAGCATACTGTAGATCATGCGAGATTCCCAGCATCTCTGTGCATGCGTAAAAGGAAACAAAGGAGAATTCTGGAAAAAAAAGGAAAGTGGATATAAAAGCACGCTGCTTTTGTCCATCGCAGCGGTTAAACAAAACCATTGCCTGGGTCCGGCCGGTACAAAAGCTCCTTTTTTTCACACGAAGGCCATTTCTCTTTTCTCTCTTCTTTCCTCTCTTCATCGGTTATTCGACTGCACCTTGCTAGGGCCTAGCAGTAGGGGGGAGAGAGAGAGGGTAAAAGCACGATCCGGTTCCGGCTAGCGGCTACTACTGCACAGTGACTGACACCTGACCCTATCCTACCGTGCCACTGACACTCATCACTGGTAATGGTGCCTGCCACCGGTCACCCATCCCATCCCATCCATCTGCCCGTCGATCGAGGCCCAGAGGAGCGCCCCCTCAAGTCATGGCGGACATCGTCGCTCGTCGCATCACGCGCGCGGCATCCTGAGCCGCCTCCCTCCCTCCGGCTTCCAGCCCGGCCGGCCGCGCCGACGTGACGGGCGGATTCTGCACGCCGCGACGCCGCCGTGAGTGGTCACGGATTGGCGGCGATGGAATGCGTTGGAACGCTGGTGCATTAGGCACGTCACGCGCGCCCGGCCTTCCGGTGCTCGCCACGGCACCGTGTTGGTTTCTAGCCCACGCATGCTTTGTGCTTGTGCTGGGAACGCGTGCTTTTGTGCTTGTGCTTGCCCACGCCCTCCGGATCTTAGCACTTAGATTAGTTCCACCTCAATTTCTAAAAAGTTGCTACAGTACCTGTCACATCGAATGTTTGCGGCCTGTGCATGGAGCATTAAATGTAGACGAAAAGAAAAACTAATTACACAGTTTGGTGGGAAATTGCGAGACGAACGTTTTGAGCCTAATTAGTTCATGTTTGAACACTATTTGCCAAATAAAAACGAACGTGCTACAGTATCCCCAAAATCCAAATTTCTCCAAGGCCTTGTTTAGATCACCTCCAAATTTTAAGTTTTTTCACTCTCTCTCCATCACATCAATTTTTAGCCGTTTGCATGGAGCATTAAATGTAGGTAAAAAAATAACTAATTATACAATTTAGTTGGAAATCACGAGATGAATCTTTTAAGCTTAGTTGGTTCATAATTGGACAATATTTACAAAATAAGACGAAAGTGCTACTATTTATCAGGTTAAAATTTTTTACAATCTAAACCTGGCCCAACTAAACAAGGGCTAATCAGACCTGCAGGATCCGAGTGCATGCATGCATGCGCGGGCGCCGTACGGTGTGGTGTACCCACGCATGCACGCCCGAGCTCACCATCATGGGCCTGAGCCTCACGGCCTCCTTTTCCTGTTTCAACGGGGTAATCATTGCGCTCACAGCCTCTGCCAGATGCCGGATCTCCCTCCTACCTGATGGCTGCACTGTACTCGTCCATAAATTCATAATGGCCTTCTACGCTTTCGAACCCGTCGGTCAACTGCCGATTCGATTGCGGCGTCCCTCTCCCACCACGTACCCGTATGCACCCACACTGTTCATCAGTTCACGGCGACGGCGGGGTACACTGCCACGTGCGCAATTGCACCGAAATGATTTCGTCTCGCTCGCTCCCTTCGTTCCCGGCCGTGCCCAGACATCGACGTCCGTCCATGGCCGTCGGCAGCCAAATTAGCCGTCCGTCGTCGTGGGCTCGTGGCGCGGCGTCGTCCTGCCGCTGGCGTGCCCGCCGCTCGTGTCACGTCCCCACGCCGCACGCCAGGCTCGGGCGCGGGGGCGGGGGCGGGGGTCGCACGGCGCCACGGCGACGTCGTCCGCCCTCTTCCCACTTTCCGTGCTCTACTGCTTTATTGACCAACACAGACTGCTCCTGTGGGCTGTGGCTGGGTACGTTGCGTCCAGAGTACTCCAGCGGCCATCGCCATTCCATCCGTGTGCTGGTACACAGAAAAAATGCACGCCGCACACGCTCGTACTCGTACTGCCCCGGGGGAGGAGGAACTGATTTCGTGACGGCAAAAATTCCTCTGTGCAAGACTACTGGAGTACTGTAGTAGCCAGCGCACTAGACAAGTAGACAGTATTGCTGTAGGTGCAAGATCGCGTCTGTTCAATGGTCATCGATTTGTACAAGTAACAGTAACCTTCGGAAGCCACATGGTTGCCGTTGCCTCGGTAGCCGTGCCCCCTAGTCCACCGATGTGGCGACCAGTTCCGTACGGGCGCGCGTAACTGCTAAGTACGCACTCTGACTGAGTTTTGGGTTACCGTAGCACTTTCGTTTTTATCTGTCAATTAGTGTTTAAACATGGATTAATTAGGCTCAAAACGTTTGTTTCATAATTTTCCACCAAACTGTACAATTAGTTTTTTTTCATCTACATTTAATGCTCTATGCATGGACCGTAAATATTCGATGTGATGGATACTATAGCACTTTTTGAGATTTTTGGTTGGGTTCACTAGCCACGTCCGCCACCAAACGGGCGGGCAGGCCAGCCAGCCGGAGGCGGTGGACTGGCCTGGCCTGGCCTCCTGCGCAGCACGTCCTGTTCCGCGGAGGAAAGACGCGGACCCAGCCGGGTCAGGCCATGATGGCGCCTTTTCAGCGTGCGGCGGCTGCAGCCTCCGCCCAGCCAGTTGTAGCGGGCTGGGGGTGGCGTGGGTGGCCCGCCGCGCTCGGCGGCAGCGACGCTGCTCCCGCTCCCACCCGCCTGGACGCTGCATGGCGTGTAAGGTCTGCATCTGGCGCCTGGCCCCGCCATGTCCGAACGCTCCGCTTTGTCCCTCGGAGCCCGTCCCACGACCTCGGCACGCGCGCCCGTGGCCGTGCCGCTGCCGCTGCCGCGCCCAGGCGGGCGTGCGACGTCCGTTCGTCTCAGGCCTGCCCCTGCCCGCCCGGGCGCTGCAGTGCAAAGCCTGCGGCTGCCTGCGACGGCACGTTCTGTGCGCATGCTCGTACTCTAGGCGTGTACTGCTACAGTACGGGAGACGGCTGCCGCGGCTACGAGGGAGTAGGGGCCTGGCTTGTGCCTGCTACTAGGTTGCTACTGCCAGCCAGCCAGCCAGCCAGCCGCGCCCACGGGCCGGCGGACGCGATAAAAAACGGATCTCACCGGCCCTGGGTTCTGCGGCGATTCTATTCTGCAATAGTGGTAGTGGAGCGCCTTCTTGTCGGGGGCACGCTTCCAAAGCGCGACTGCGAGCGCGGCCGTCGAGGCGGCTAGCTCGCTCTCCCTGCGTCTGAGCTTTGCTTTGTTTTGCTACCCTCTAGTGCCGGTGCTGGCATGGAGCTTCCTGTTGTGGCTTTTTCTATAGCCCATGGACCATGCTGGCGGATTAAATAAACCCAAATAGTAATATAGTACTAGCTCCGTTCATAAAAAATATAATTTTTATAATTCTAACACAGTGTCATAGTTATGTATCTTAAGTTCGATCAATTATAGATAAAAAAATATTAATATTTATAATACAAAATAAATATTATTAGATTAATTGTGAAATGTATTTTTATAATAAATTATTTTAGAGCCGTAAATATGAATAGTATTTACTGAAACTTTGGTTAAATGTAAACTATTTTTACTGACAAGCAACATGTAGTTTCAAGGAAGTTTCACCTTGGTAGCTCTTCAATTTTGAGCCTGGACTGGAACACTGCATTTTGTGGCTTTCTATTGTTTTTCCCCCCGAATGGACCACATTGTGGTAGCTGTTTTGCCCACCAACAAAATGTGCATTTGCGCTGTGTCCAGTGTGGTGTCAAAAGAAATTGTAACAGTGGCTTGTTCACTGATCTTATAAGTCGTACTTTTTCAGTGTAGGGATAGCAACAATACTTTTCACCCTGGGCCACTAGTTTATCCACCTATTCAACTTGTTTGTAGGTTTCAGCCAGAACTTATCAACCAGACAATAATATTTTTCTCTCACAACAAACCAGCATTAATCGGGCTTATCAACTTACAAAACATGCTGATTGTTTCGAGAGTGATGAGACCCATCTTGAGCGTAGCATCTAGTGCGCTAGTAGTACCAGCAGTAGCAACGGATTATTCTGCACTTGTTGTCACGATCGACGCCTTAAAAACATTCCTAACGCCACGGAGCGAGCTGCGTGCGATCGAGAGTGCCGCACGCTACGCTATCCGCCAACCACACGAAGGAACATGCGCTGCGCTTTTTTCAATAAAAATTCCCATCCATCCATCTACCCGGAAAACACCATCCGAACGCCGAAGCCCCGCCACGCCCCCTACCTGTCTCGTGCGCGTGCCCCCAGCTCGTTTTCCACGGCTTTTTTACGCGCCGCGCCATCACCCATGGCTGCTGCCACTGCCACCGGCGGCGTCGTAGCGTGCGCGCACTCGCGCTAGTGGAGCTCCAGCACAATCCCCGGATCTCCGACGCCTGCCACCTTTGGTAAAAACAGGAGGATTCAATTCAATGGCTGCCGTTGCCGCTGCCGCTGCCGCTGCCGCCATGTGTTTTCACCTTCACAGGCTCTCTGACCTCTGAGAGAGAGAGAGAGAGAGAGAAAAGAGCGCCGGCCCCGTTCTTGCGTCGCCCGCTGCCCAGTCCCAAGCAGGTCAAACCTGCCTCCGGGCAGCTGCTGCCGCATCAGCAGTGCCCTTCTGTCCCGCGCCGCATTTTAATTTCGCGATTTTGAGAGGTCCCGTGGAGGAGGAGAGGACGCAAGCAAGGCCTTTTATTTTTTTATTTATTATTTTTACCGCGCGTGGGTCGCTTCGTTTTCACAGTGCGGCGGCCTCTTTCTTGGCTCGTTGCTCTCGTTCCGCTCAGCTTCTGCCTGCGTTCGCATTTGCCGCTTTGCTGCTACTCCACTGATCACGTTATAAGGCGTCCGCGCAGGCGAGCTGCTGCTGCCGCCTTGTCGGGTAACGCACGACCTCGTCGGCCCTCTCCAGTGATTGGTCACATGCTCGAGGTCCTGGACATGGCGCCCCCGCCGCCACCGCCGCCGCAGGCGGAGGCGCGGCACCACCAGGGGGCAGCCAACAAGGGCGGGCACGCGGAGCGGAGGAAGCAACCGCTGCAGAGCAGCGTGACGCAGCCCAAGGCGGAGCCGCCGGCGGCTTCGGCGGCGGCGGCCGTGCTGCCGGAGGGAGGCAAGAGGTGCGGAGGAGGCGGGAGGCGCCGCGGCGGGCGCGGCCGGGCCAAGGCGCCGGGTGAACCTCGCGCCGCGCTTGCGGTAGCGGTAGCACCGCCGCCGCCGCCGCCGCCGCGCACGGTCATTGGGCCGCCCGTGCCGAGCAAGGGGCTGTCGTTCTGCCGCCGGCCGGGATTCGGGACGGTGGGCGCGCGCTGCGTCGTCAAGGCCAACCACTTCCTCGCCGAGCTCCCGGACAAGGACCTCACCCAGTATGATGTAAGTGCTCGCTCGCCGCTCATTTCGCCTCGCTGGCCTTGAGCACTAGCGCAATTGAGATCAAAAGGCGACGTCTTTGGGTGGTTTTGCAGGTGAAGATCACGCCGGAGGTGAGCTCGCGGACCGTGAACCGGGCCATAATGGCGGAGCTGGTCCGCCTCTACCGCGCGTCCGACCTCGGAATGCGACTCCCGGCCTACGACGGCCGCAAGAATCTCTACACCGCCGGTACCCTCCCGTTCGACGCTCGCGAGTTCGTCGTGCGCCTCACCGATGAGGACGACGGCACCGGCGTCCCGCCCCGGTACGTGCCTGCATTTGTTTCTTGCGCCACTTGGGCCGCCTCCCTCCTCGTACGTCTTTCTTAATAATGGCATGTCGTACTGATTCGCGGGATTGCGTCCCTCCAGGGAGAGGGAGTACAGGGTCGCCATCAAGTTCGCCGCGCGTGCCGACCTCCACCACCTCAGGCAGTTCATCGCCGGGCGGCAGGCGGACGCGCCGCAGGAGGCCCTACAGGTACTCGACATCGTGCTGCGCGAGCTCGCCAACCAGAGGTATTTTTTCCATCGGTGCCTGCATTGATTGCAACGCCACACATTGCCCGTTTGCGCTCTTGGATTTGAGGAAGCTAGTGCTAACAGCGCTTCTTCCCCATTGATTAGGTACGTGTCGATAGGGCGGTCCTTCTACTCGCCGGACATCAGGAAGCCGCAGCGGCTAGGCGACGGCCTGCAGTCGTGGTGTGGGTTCTACCAGAGCATCCGGCCGACACAAATGGGATTGTCGCTTAACATCGGTGAGTTGTGCTGGCTGGGGAATATTTGTTGCCCTCATGCATGTGATTTCTTTTTTGTCCTGTGGCTGCTGCTTACACGGCGATGTTGACGGCAGACATGTCGTCCACGGCGTTCATTGAACCCCTGCCGGTGATCGAGTTCGTGGCCCAGATATTAGGAAAGGATGTCATATCAAGGCCATTGTCCGATGCTAACCGAATCAAGGTAATATTACTGTGGTTGGGCAAGGAATCTAGCATAGTACTACAGTGATTTGTAACAGCTGCCATTGGGTGCTAGCATTACTTATGGACTGTTAGCTGGTTATGTCCTTTGATTTTTGTGCTCTCTAATCAGCAATTTATCTATGTAATTTGCTTATTATGCCAAGCAGATCAAGAAGGCATTGCGGGGCGTAAAAGTTGAGGTCACTCACCGGGGGAATGTAAGGCGCAAGTATCGCATTTCTGGGCTGACAACGCAACCAACTCATGAACTAATGTATGTTCAGATTCTGAATGGTTTTGCTAGCTCCTGAAGTACTGTTATTGTCATCTCTCTTTCAATACATGATCGTAGCCTGATTTGATGAACATAAAAGAATGGTAACCTGTTGACACAAAAAGCGGCTATACTCAATTTCTGCTTACATTAATTACATTGATTTATCTAATTCGCCTTAGCAGTGAATAGATTCGACAAAATAAATTATGTGACGATGAAGGGTTGTTAAACATTGATGCCTAAATCATGCGATTGTTTTTTCTTCTTCTAATTTTGACAGTTTCCCGATTGATGAACAAATGAATATGAAATCTGTGGTGGAATACTTCAAGGAAATGTATGGTTTCACCATTCAGCATCCTCATCTTCCCTGCCTTCAGGTTGGGAACCAAAAGAAGGCAAACTATCTACCGATGGAGGTCAGTATATATGCTAATCACAAACTTATGTTTACTTGTCAATTGTGTTTATGTTTCTAGTTAGTGTTACACTCAATAATGAACATTGTAATATTGAGTTTTTTTTTACCAGGCATGCAAGATCGTTGAAGGCCAGAGATACACGAAGAGGCTGAATGAAAAACAGATCACATCATTGCTAAAGGTTACATGCCAAAGGCCTAGAGAACAGGAGATGGATATTCTACAGGTTGAGAGTTTTTGTCATCTCCCCTATTATTAAAGAAGTAACTTTTGAACACACACACCTGCTGTATGTTGAGCTAGATGTACTAGGGTTTTATTGTAAGTAAACTGAATCATCTCTCTTGAACTGATCATACGTATTATATGTGGAGCTAAATGTTCTAGCATTCTAGGTTTTTTTTGTTCTCGATGAACTAATCTGAACATTGCAAGACATGCATTATAACTGTTCATTGTCCTATCCTAGAGTCCTGCATTTATTTGCCAGTGGTCCAAGCTTTCCATGCAGTGGGCTTTGAATAGACACCCATTAATACTGCTAGGGTTTTTCACTTTTCATAAATGATGGTGTTAATTAATCAAAATTTTTGTTAAAATGGCTCAAGAGACTTCGATTATTATTTGTTTTCAGACAGTTCATCAAAATGGATATGAGCAAGATCCATATGCAAAGGAATTTGGGATCAACATTAGTGAGAAGCTAACCTCTGTTGAAGCTCGAGTCCTTCCTGCACCTTGGGTAAGAATAATCTTATGTCACTGTTATTCAATTTTTTCCCCTTTGGAAGCACCTTACACTATTATTCATGAAGTTAGTTGCTCATTATTGATGCGTTGAATAACTTTTGTGAATTCAGTTGAAGTATCATGACACTGGAAAAGAGAAAGAGTGCTTACCACAGGTTGGTCAATGGAACATGGTAAACAAGGTAAGATTCCAGCTTGTGTGCATCTATTGTTTGCTAATTACTATGTTTGATTGCACTACTTTTAGGCCTAAAATAACTCATTTTACAGAAAGTGATAAATGGATGCAAGGTGAGCCATTGGGCGTGTATAAACTTCTCAAGGAGTGTTCCAGAAAACACAGCTAGGGGATTTTGCCAGGAATTGGCGCAAATGTGTCAGATTTCGGGCATGGTACTATACCCCTCATCTCTGCTCGTGTTTGTGCACAAGACAAATACTTGTTTAAATTGAAACTGTAAGCATCTTTTAATTTGACCTCCTAAGTATTACAGGAATTTAACAGTGAGCCAGTGATGCCAATATATTCAGCTAGACCAGACCAAGTAGTGAAGGCACTTAAAAATGTGTATAATATGGCACTGAACAAACTCAAGGGTAAAGAACTTGAACTTCTTTTGGCTATCCTCCCTGACAACAATGGTCCATTATATGGTAAGTGTCATCTGCTAATTTCCTTGCATATATATTTACCTTTTGAACTCTTACATATTTTCTCAGATATAACTTTATATATATTCAATTCAAAGCGATATAACTTTGTATTTGTAGGTGACATCAAACGTATTTGTGAAACTGATTTGGGATTGATATCACAATGTTGCTTAACCAAGCATGTTTTTAAGATCAGCAAGCAGTACTTGGCAAATGTCTCACTGAAAATTAATGTTAAGGTACTTACCACCTTGTTTATGCATAAAATACAGTGCAGAACAGCAACTTTAGAAGATAAGTGGCTCTATTATTGGCTAACGATACCATTAAATTCAGATGGGAGGAAGAAACACTGTGCTCCTGGATGCAATAAGTTGGAGGATTCCTTTGGTCAGTGACATACCAACTATTATATTTGGTGCAGATGTAACACATCCTGAAACCGGGGAGGACTCAAGTCCATCAATTGCTGCCGTAAGGCTCATTACTATTTTGCCATTTTCTGCATCAAAATGTCGTATTCATCAGGATACACACATCCTTATCTTGATTTCGGACTTATCTCTCTCTTTATTTTAATATGCTGCTCACAGGTTGTTGCTTCTCAAGATTGGCCAGAAGTTACAAAGTATGCTGGATTGGTTTGTGCTCAGGCACACCGGCAAGAGCTCATTCAGGACCTTTACAAAACATGGCATGATCCTCAGAGAGGCACTGTAACAGGCGGCATGATCAGGTTTTTATCTACGAGCAATGTGAAATCCTGAAGCGCAATATATAATTTAATCTATTAAAAATATTGGCTGATTTAACTTATTTCCTGTGATGTTTTGTTGTGCAGGGAGCTCTTAATATCCTTCAGGAAGGCCACTGGGCAGAAGCCATTGAGAATAATATTCTACAGGTATGTTTGCAAATATTGACCATCACCTGTAGCTTGTAGATGGCAATAATAAAACATGTCTGATGCCTATTATTGCCATGTGAATCTTTTCTAAATACGTAAGGGTGTAGGTTAGTGATGTATCGCAGGGTGGACGTATCCATTGCTAGGTCTTCTTTATGTTGTAACTAAATTATGCACATGTTAAATTTATTCAATTTCTCTTTCAGGGACGGTGTTAGTGAAGGCCAGTTCTACCAAGTTCTCCTTTACGAGTTAGATGCCATCCGTAAGGTTGGTTGCATTTTATTTTATTCTATTACACTCTTCTAAGCTCCTTCTTAGAGTTTACTAACTAGTGCTTTCTTTCAGGCATGTGCATCCCTAGAACCAAATTACCAGCCTCCTGTAACATTTGTGGTAGTTCAAAAACGTCATCATACAAGACTATTTGCAAATAATCACAAAGACAGAAGTAGCATGGACAAGAGTGGAAATATTCTGCCAGGTAGTGTATCTATGGCCTCTAAATCTTTAGGATGTGTATCTATAACCACACTCTTTCAACTGACATATTCGAAAGTTTATTAGTACTTGAACTAAAATGTATTGTGTTTTGGAGTAAAAAATATCTTGTCTAAATTTAAGATTATAAGAAATTAGCCACTCTTTTGAGGCAGTCAGATTTTTCTTTTGTTTAAATTGCATGACGTTGAAGTTATTCTCTTGTTTCTATGACTGCTCACAAGTTAATTGAAAACAGGAACCGTTGTTGATTCTAAGATATGCCACCCAACGGAGTTTGATTTCTACCTCTGTAGTCATGCTGGAATTCAGGTAAGGGCCTGTTTGGCTCCCATGAATTGAAACAAATATCTAGAAAGTGCTTGCCATTTCATTATTAGATTACCTTCCAATTCCTTCCTGGGAACCAAACAGGGCTGGTATTCCTTTGTTGGATCCTGGGAACCAAACAGCATATGTTCCTGTACTGAATGTCATTTGTGACCAAAATAGTATTGAAAAGTCTTGTCATATGCTCTTTCCACAAGCTATCACTGCACCTATCTACCTAGTGAAGGCCATATGCTAAAAGAATATAACAAACTGATCCTATGGTCAACCTTTTATCATGTGATTGTACAGCTATGGTACTTGGATCAGTAGCATGGGAATATAGTCAGATTCTCCATACTGTACGGTACTCAAATGACTGATTTGTGAGTTTGCCAGGGAACAAGTAGGCCTGCTCACTACCATGTCCTCTGGGATGAGAACAATTTTACAGCAGACGAAATGCAGACATTGACAAACAACCTATGCTACACGTAATGCACTTATTTTATATGCTATATTTGTCCCTTGCACTTTGAACTTTAACTTTTCAGAATTTTCTTAGCTTGATGTACATGTTATTGATGCAGTTATGCCCGGTGCACACGCTCGGTTTCTGTTGGTATGTTCATCTGTGCTTTACAGACAAACTTTTTCCTAGTTCCACAATTTTTATCGACTGTTTAGCCTGCTCGCCTGTTCAGAAAACAACTTTGACCTGTGATGCTGTATATTTTGCTTCTTAACAGTCCCTCCTGCATACTACGCACACCTGGCAGCATTCCGGGCTCGGTTCTACATGGAACCAGAGATGTCGGAGAACCAGACGTCTAAGAGCTTCAATGGCACAAACGGAGTCTCGGTGAAGCCCCTGCCTGCTGTCAAGGAGAAGGTGAAAAGGGTGATGTTCTACTGCTGACAAGGAGACCACTTAACCACTCACATGCTGTAGCTAACTTGGTAGAGTTTAGTAGGGATTAGATAGCTTTCTCCAGGAATGAAGACGAGAGCATTTGGATCATGAACAATCAATCTGTTAACGACCTCTGTAAAGTACTCAGAAATGCCTGTATAATAGTTCTTGTTGGTTCAGATGCATCCAATGTTCCAATGTACTCTGAAAAGGGCCGTAAGATGGTGTAGAAGAAACCTGCTGGTGTTTTCTAGAAACCCGCTGAAGATTCGTGTGCATGATCTCACAGCGATGGAGCAGGGTTTCCAAGAGGGATGATGTTCTGTATTCTCTCTTTCATATGATCTTACACGCCAATGTTGCAGGGTTTCCACGGCATGTTCTGTATTCTCTCTTTTGCGACCAGATTGTGAAGAAAGGATAACGAACCTTTAAAATGAGGTAACAAAGGCGAATTATCTTGTACGCGCAGTCAGTAACTAATAAAAAGGTCAAACATCTGTGAGATGTAGCAGCTGATATTATGCAAATGGACTTGAAATAGACTACAAGGACAGCTTAACACGACTGCTGATTTGTGTTAGTAGGTCATTGGAGTTATTTGCATCTGAAACACCTCCCGAAACTGAACCCAATACTTAATCCTCTGGTTGGTAGTCCAAGACCATAAGATGTTTGTTGTATCCGCTATTTCAAAGGAAGGACACGGGATTATATACAAATAGAAACATAAAAAATAGATAAGTGCAGGGTATAATCAAGAAGGAAGAAAGCCTGAAAGCCTATGGAAACCAGCCATGGCCGGCCCGTGGGTCTGCCAATTTTATCAGTTCAAGCAAACTGGTAGCTCTAATTATGCTAAATAAATCAAATCCAGATAAATACTAAGGTGAACTTGCGCGGCAGCAGACTAATTGCAAAAGTCCAATGTTATGAGGTAACCAAATTTGGATCTCTCTCTATAAACCACCTTGTACAAACAAGTATCAGCACCACATTTGTCTTGCTAATCCAGAGGCGAGCCAAAAATAATCTAGGAGCATTGACATGTTCAGAAAGCAAGTTGGTCACAATCTAAATTCCAGATTCCAATATCAAACAGGAAGACACCACACAGCATCGAACAACCTAATTTGAGAAAAGCCCTGCAAGTCTCGACGACCAGGCTCCAGCTGAATTGCAGAATCATCAGCAACTGCAAGGCCTTGCATGTTCAAGAGTTGACACAGTGGCCAACTTCATATATTGTTTTGTTATCATAAGATTTGTCATGATTGGAACTGATAAGCTAGGAATTGAGAATTTGCCCTTTTACTGAGAATGGAAGGTGGTCCATTAGGTATATTCATCACATCTGAGAACTAGCTGGGTATGTGTTTGTGGGGTAATATTAACCAGATGTAGCTCATCTGCGTGTTCGAGAAAAAAAAATATTCATCAGCAGCAGTGATGGAAACACAGGTACCACAAACACCAGGCTTTGAACAGCCTACCTCTTTGCTTTTTTCATTGCAGGTGTATAAACTTTACATTGAAATCTTTCTGAAAGGCTATGCATCTTGTGGACATAAAATGCTTCAAGCCAAACTTATCAGGCATGATACAGTATTTTTCTCTCACAGTAAAACAGCATCAGCCGGCTTATAAGCCACAGAAACGATCAAGCGAACAGGGTGTTTGAACTTTGGCAGAAGAGGATATATTGACTCAGAGAACGAACACTACATTTTGCTGTACTGTATGCTTTGATTATTCCAGCAATGTCGACTAAGCAAGTCTGAACATTTCAATGTCAAACTAACCAGAATTCTGAACACTAAATTTATCAAATAGTTATTGACTTGAGTTTCTTTGACTATATAATCAAGCATATTTCTGTTTTGTCAACCATTCCAACTCCAAAACATTAGGTATATCGCAGTATCAGCTCCATCAACAGTATTCTTTTACCTCAATCATGCTGCAACCTGCAGTCTTCTTGACCGCAGGATGTGTCATCTTACTTCTCACTCTTATTGCTTCCTCCCATCGACTTGCTGTTGCATACACATTAGACATGAGGACATTAACATCAGGATTTTGGGAACAATCTTCCTTGGCAATTCTTTTTGTCAACCGTTCGCTCATCTCAACATTGCTATAAGCTTTGCAGGCAGTGAGGAGTGCACCAAACAGAGGCATAGTATCATTGTTAACAGGCATGTCACCGATCAACTTCTCAGCTTCATATAGTAGACCAGCATGACCTAGAAGATTGACAAGGCAGCTATAATGTTCGATTCTCGGCTCTATCTGATAGACCTCCTTCATGGCTTGGAAATGTCTCCGTCCTTCATCGACCAAGCCACCATGGCAACAGGCACTCAGTACTCCAATGAACGTGATACCATCAGGCTTTGTTTTGCTTCTCTGCATCTCTTCAAACAATTCAAGAGCCTTGCTGGCCTGGCCATTTGTGGCCAGACCACAGATGATGGCAGTCCAGGCTGCAGCATCTCTGCCTTGCATTCGCCCAAAGATTTGCAGTGACTTGTCAACATGCCCACACTTTGAGTACATCTCAATCAATGCCGTGCCAAGAACTGCATCAATTTTCATATTCCTGCCTTCAGCATACTGATGGACCCATTCACCTTGATCAAGAGCGCCGATATTGGCACAGCATGTGAGGAGAGTGACGACAGTGAACTTGTCAGGCTCCACACATTGTAACTGCATGTCTCGGAACAATGTCAGTGCCTCCTCAAAGCTTCCATGTTGTACACATGCGTTGATCATTGCAGTCCACAGGATTAGATCCTTCTGTGTGCATTGGTAGAAAAGCACTCTTGCCTTGTCCAGCTGACCAGCAACAGTATATCCTGACACTAGTATAGTCCAAGATACGATGTTCCTCTCGGGCATTTGCTCGAACATCTTCACCGCCTCTTCCAAGTAACCATTCTTCGTATACATGTCCAGAAGCGCATTTGCAACTGGGAGGCTGAATCCAAAGACTCCATCCATGTATGAACGAATCCTCCTTCCCAAGCTCAGGTTGCCTGCTCTGGAGCAAGCGGTAACGGCGGTCACCAATGTCACCCTGTCAGGTGTGGCACCGCTTCTCTCCATCTCCTCAGCTAACGCAACTGCTGCTGTGAAGCGGCCACACCTGATGTAGCACCTCATCATCATATTCCACAGCACCAGGAATTTCTGCGGCATCTCGTCGAACACCTTCCGTGCGAAGTCCACACGGCTCAGCATCGTGTACATCTCCATCAGCGAACTTGCGGTGTACGCATCCCAACGGAACCCGGTCTTCACCGCGGCCGCGTGCACCTTGCGCCCCTCGACGGACAGCTTCATCACGCCGATTGCCCTGAGCACGAACGGGTAGGTGTAGCTGTCTGCGACGAGGCCGCGCGCGCGGAGATCGTAGTACACCGCCATGACGCGTGAGAAACTGCCGCGCCTGGCCAGGGTCCTGATCAGTACGTTGCAGTCGCGTAGCGGCATGGCATGGTGGCACGCCGTCGCCATCGTGGGACGTGTGGCCGTGTGGGCGGAGGCGCCAAGGCGGAATCTTTTTGGGTGCCGTATAGAAACGGGAGAGCGACGCGGATGGTTGTGGGGCAAATTGGCTAGATGGTAAAGAGGGTGGCTGTTGTGGTGGGAGGGAGCGTGGCTGGGCTAGCGTGCGCTCATGCCGTGGCTGACGCGGGATGGGAGCTGATTGTGCTGGAGAAGGCGGCGGCGCCGGCGGCCGGGAGCGGCACGGGCGCCGGACTGGGCCTCGACGCGCAGTCTATGGAGACCCTCTCGCGGTGGATCCCGGGGTGGGGAATCGACGCGGCCACGCTGCCGCTCGCCGTCGATCTGGTAAGCTCCCCCGCCCTTTCCGGATCGCCCGTGCTCGTGTTGAGGTGAGATCAATTGGAATTTGCGAGTTGACCGTTTAAGGCCGCAGAACAGAGCCACGGACAGCGAGACGAAGGCGGTGCGGACGCTGGCGAGGGACGACGACTTGAATTTCCGCGCGGCGCACTGGGGCGACCTGCACCGGCGGCTGCACGAGGAGCTGCCGCCCGCGGTGACCGTGTTGTGGGGCCACCAGTTCCTGTCGTTCGAGGCGCCGGACGACACACGCGGGGTCGTCGCGACGGCCCGCGTGCTGCGGACGGGAGAGACGGTTGAGGTCACGGGGGACCTGCTCATCGCCGCGGACGGCTCCACGTCGTCTGTCCGTCGCAGCTTCTTGCCAGACCTCAAGCTCAGGTTCAGCTTCCTGCCTATTTGGTTGATTGGTTCGATGATTTGGTCCAGAGTGACCCATTTCTTATTCGCCGTGGTCGGGGCAGGTACTCCGGGTACTGCGCGTGGCGAGGCGTGTTTGATTTCAGCGGGAAAGAGAGCTGCGACACCATGACCAGCATCCGAAGAGCCTACCCGGAGCTCAGCAACTGCCTCTACTTCGATCTTGCTTACAAGACCCACGCCGTGCTCTACGAGCTGGCCAGGAGCAGGCTCAACTGGCTCTGGTACATCAACGGCCCAGAACCGGAGCTCACGGTAATGGCCGCCCCCTCGCTGCGTCGTCGACGTGCTAGGATTCTGCTCGCGCGGATTACTGATTCTGCTCGTTGTTCAGGGGAGCTCGGTGACCATGGAGGCGACGGACGCCATGGTGGCGCGGGTGCGGGACGAGGCGGAGTGCGTCTGGTGCCCCGAGCTGGCGCGTCTGATCAGGGAGACCGCGGCGCCGTTCGTGAACGTGATCTACGACGCGGACCCGCTGCCGCGGTTGTCGTGGGCGGGCGGCCGCGTGGTGCTGGTCGGCGACGCGGCGCACCCGACGACTCCGCACGGGCTGCGGAGCACCAACATGTCGGTCGTGGACGCGTGCACGCTCGGGCAGTGCTTGGCGAAGTGGAACTCAGAGCCGACGCCTGCGCACGCGCTGGCAGAGTACGAGGCGGTGCGCCTGCCCGTTGTGGCGCAGCAAGTGCTCCACGCGCGCCGGCTCGGGCGGCTCAAGCAGGGCCTGCCAGTGGACAGTGAGGCGGAGGACGGGTTTGACGTGACAACGGCGAAGGCAGAGGTGCTGGAGCTACGGCAGAGGACAATGCCGTTCTTCGATGGCGCACCTGCTGCAGTTGGCGGTGGTTTTCCTCTGGTTGGCAGTACAAGATGAATCTATCACTAGTTTTGGGATGAAATGTCCCCGTTCGTTTGTTCGTTTTTGTTTAGTTGACGGTATATACTCTATGTTCTAAATTATAGATCATTTTGACTTTTTTAATATATCTAGATATAAGATATGTTTAAATACATAATAAGGCCTTGTTCTTGGATCTTGTTCGGTTTGGTGGAGGTCGGAGGAGATTGAAGGGATTAGATGCCTCGTGAGTTAAAAAAATTCTCTATTAATTTCCTCCAATCCCCTTGGATCCATTTGTAAAAAGAATTAATCAAACTTTGCCATATTAGTCAGTGAGTCGAAACTAAAATGACTATAAATGATCTTTCTATTTTTTTTTCCATATTTCTAATTTTGAGATGATTCCCTCCCACTAACATATACTTGTCTCTAATCTAAGATAAGAGTCAGAAAATTGCTTGGGTACCACATAATAACCTTCCCGGGTTGATGCATTGTGGCAAGTTAGTCCTTTTTCGCTCTAACTTTGGAATTGTCACCATCGATATTGAAGAACCACCTCAGGTCAGAGGCACTAGTGGGTTCTAATCAAAATCAACTACGCAAGGTAAATCAACATAACTTTGGAGTATAGATTGGAAAAAATGGTTTGAACTAAGGACATGGAAACCAGATGAATCAATTGTCATGAGGCAAATACAACTGATAAGCAAAAGGTCCTCCACAACACGATAAGGTTATTAAAAAAAACAGCTTGAGACAGGGTTCTATGCAGGCTCAAGCTTCAGGAGAATCTGGACACCAAGTTAGAATTGCGATTAGTGGGATGTTTAGGTCAGTCTTAGTAGAGTTTCATCTAGTTTCACTTGCATTTAATATTGTGACACATCAATAGATTTGATGAGTCTTAGAAACAACGCCATACAACTCATCACTAAAGACCGATGTTGAGAGTTCTTAGCCACAACTAGCATTTATTTGAGAAATGTATTATGAGCGGTTTTATTCTAGCTCGACTAGTGTCGAAGCCAAACTTTTAAGAGCCCAAATGATCTGGCAGAAATATTTATTTAAAATATATATTATTTCTCTTTGATATAAATAAAAAAATCCTTCTACAATTCACGCGACGAGCTTGGACGGCCACGGGGCCACTGGGCAGTGGCTCCGCCAATAAGCTCGATAGAAGTTTGTCGAGCCAGAACTTTCTGGGATCCCTAAGAGTGTTTCCAATGATCTACCTTAGCCGAATCATTTTTTCATTCGTTGAATAGTGTAAAAGACAAAAGGCTAGCGCGAAATTAAGAGATAGTCTCGCAAATTTCATGATGCTCCTCTCTCACACAATATGATATAATGTTGTTGTCTCTCTCCACGTGTGCTAGCTTAGAGCTCATACTAGCTTATATTGTTGGAGACACTAATTGACTTTTGTATTGGTTGGTATCAATATTGGAATAGAATGGAGCTACTCACATACTCGGTATGCACCATTTATTCTAAACCATGTCGAATGGAGCTACTCACATACTCGGTATGCACCATTTATTCTAAACCATGTCGAAACGATATTACTCGCTCCGTTCCAAATTATAAGTCGCTTTAACTTTTTTGGTTTCATCCATTTTGTTATGTACTAGACATATTATTATATCTAGATGCATAATAAAATGGTTGTACCAAAAAAAAGTCAAAGCGATTTATAATTCGGAACAGATGGTGTTGGGGACCAATACTAGGGTACCTGAAGAGAAAGAGCTAATAGCCATCAACATTGATTCATCTGAGCAGTCAAGAGCGCGACTACAGCTCCCCAGGTGCGCGGGCTCCGCCTCGCCCGACCCTGAGGCCCGCCTGACCCTTGGGTTTGCGCTCCGCCTCCCCCGACCCCTCAGGTGCGGGCTCCGTCTCGCCCGACAGGGTCCCATACCGCCGCTAACCACTCTAGATCCAGACGTATGGGCCTGGGTCAAAACTCTGACAACAAGGAATAGACTGTCATACCCCGATGTAACCCATGGCCATGACGGGTGAAAGGTCCTAATGGCTAGAGGGGGGTGAATAGCCTAATAAAATTCTACAACAACACTTAACAAAATGTGTTAGACAATTTTGCGGCGAAGCGAGTGTTGCGCTAGCCTACTCAAAGATGCAAGCCACCTACCACAATTCTATTTCGAATAGTGTATATCCACACAATAGCTATGACACTTAGCTAAATTAGTGTGCTCTCAAAGACTAACTAAAGAGCAACACTAATCAAACAAGCAAGCTCTCACAACTAGCTACACTAAAGAGCTTGATAACTAGTTTGCGGTAATGTAAGAGTGAGCAAGAGAGTTATACCGCCGTGTAGTGGTAGGAACCAATCAATCACAATAATGAATACCAATGTATACCAATCACCTCGGAATCAAATGATGAACACAATGATTTTTACCGAGGTTCACTTGCTTGCTGACAAGCTAGTCCTCGTTGTGGCGATTCACTCACTTGGAGGTTCACGCGCTGATTGGCATCACTCGCCAAACCCTCAATAGGGTGCCGCACAACCAACACAAGATGAGGATCACACAAGCCACAAGCAATTTACTAGAGTACAATTTTGGCACTCCGCCGGGGAAAGGTCAAGAACCCCTCACAATCACCACGATCGGAGTCGGAGACAATCACCTCCTCCACTCAACGATCCTTGCTGCTCCAAGCCGTCTAGGTGGCGGCAACCACCAAGAGTAACAAGCGAAATCCGCAGCGAAACACAATCACCAAGTGCCTCTAGATGCAATCACTCAAGCAATGCACTTGGATTCACTCTCAATCTCACTATGATGATGAATCAATGATGTAGATGAGTGGGAGGGCTTTGGCTAAGCTCACAAGGTTGCTATGTCAATGAAAATGTGCAAGAGAGCTCCCTTGAGCCGGCCATAGGGCTATAAATAGAGCCCCAATCAAATAGAGCTGTTGTACCCCTTCACTGGGCACAACGCGGGGTGACCGGACGCTCCGGTCCGATCGACCGGACGCTGGCCCTCAGCGTTCGGTCACATGATACACGCCACGTGTCCCCTGCTTCAAATGTTGTTCGTCAGATTTCAACGGTCGCGAAGCTGACCGGACGCTCCGGTAAAACTGACCGGACGCTGAAGCCCCAGCGTCCGGTTGTTTCCAGTAAGCTCCCCGAGGCATGATTTTTCGACCGGACGCGTTCGGTCCACCTTGACCGGACGCAGCCAGCGTCCGGTGCTCAACCCCTAGCCACTGTACCGCCGAGTCAACGCGACCGGACGCAGGCAGTCAGCGTCCGGTGCTTTTGGATTCAGCGTCCGGTCACTGGACCGACGCCAGAATCATTTCGATCAACTCCATTTCAACTCTTACT